AATGCCGAGGTAATGAACTGTAGAAAGTTTCAATACTTCAAGATTACTCACAACAATGGCATATCTCATGCTTCAAAGTATATTTCTCATGCACATTGAAACCCTCTTTTCTTCTTTTCTTTTTGTGAACGATTTTCAGATGCAGACATGGGTATTTTCACATAGTGAATAACATCTACAAGGGTTGGGAGATGTATGCTATTGGTGGAAGTGCAAATCCAACGATCTATAGCCAAGGAAATGTGTTCATGGCATCGGATGATAGGTTTGTGAAGGAGGTAAATAAATGTACACAAAAATAACAGCAGTTCAGCCAGTGAAAATGGGTCCCCTATATTACTATCCAAGGAAATATATTCATGACTTCCAATTTCTAGTAGCACGTACCTGTTCTTCGATCACTCAAGTATATCCTTGGTTGAAGGTAGTACCTTATTTCCTCTATGACATACCTAATTCGCAGGTGACAAAGCGAGAAAGCACTTTGGGGTATGAAGAATGGAAGGATTGGAATTGGAAGTCAGAGGGAGACCTGATGCTTAATGGTGCTTTCTTCACGCCCTCAGGAGAAGAGGATTCTTCAAGCTACCTACGAGCATCCAGCATGGTAGCACGGCCAGCTTCCCTTCTAAGAACTACCCATCCATCAATAGGAGCTCTAAGCTGCCAAATAGGCCAATCTTGCTGAGAGAAAAACAGGTCCTACAGTACTGCCCCCCCCCCCCCCCCCTCATCCTCTGCTATAATTCCGAGTGTCTTACAGAATCACCATTGGGTTGGGTTGGAAGCAGTTGGCATGTATTTGCTGCAGACCCATCTGGGTAAAATTGTTAAAACAGGAAAGGGAAATGGTTAGGGGATCAGCTCTACCAATTTCTTCTTAAGAGAGAATTCATTAATCTCATGCCAAGAACAAATAAAATAAAAACTAACAGCAGCTATTAATCCGAACAGATAAAAGAAATTTGCGATTGCAATTAATAATAGGATGTGTCTCACCTCATCAAATCTTCCACTCGTATTTCTTCCATTCAAATATCTAGTCCTCTTCTATGAGACATTGTGTATCTAGCAATAACAAGGAAGACTAAAAAGGATATGATAATCTATTGGATGAAAGAATGATATTACTTGGTAATATTCATAAGGTGAGCTACACAAACAATCGTCATTACATGATTAATTCTCTCCGTAGAGACAAAAACAAACAAGTAACAAGAGGAAGAGTGATTTCTACAGTTAGCATGAAAAATGTTTGAATGTTCAAAGGGTAACTTACGAACAAAAGATTCATTTGGACAATGTAATATTTTGGCCAAAATTTTTGAAAAGAAAGCTTTCGGATGGTAGAGATGGAAAGATTCATTGCCCCATCAAACTGGAGGATACCTGTCTTAGCAATCCTTCAGGGCTGAAAATATAGGTTCGTGGTGGTGTTTCACTGTCCGTCATATCCAAGCAGCTAGCAATCAGAAGAAAGATCGAGATCATGAGCAAAATTGAACGCAAATGGATTTTAAGAAATGTTTGTCTGCGCGCGTATACGAGAGAGAGAGAGAGGATTTCACCGTGAATCCGCAGGAATAAAACAAAATTCCGCCGGAGAAGCCTCCAGAGCCGCATCCGGAACCTCCACACTCTGCCGCCATTGCCGTCCGCTTCTCCTTGGTGGGAGTATTTCCACTGAAGATACGTTCGGAGGACAGAGACGGAGATGGAGAGAGAGAACGCAATTTTCTTTTTCTTTTTTTTTTTTCTGTTTTTTAAGTTTAAATTATGGGAATTCTTGAAACAAAAATGTTTGCACTTATCAAATTTGGGCTTTTCTTGGGTTGGGCCTAATGTCGATACTGAGACACGCGCTCTGCCCGCGCGTGGAGTAATAGTGGAATGATTGGATTATTCTCGTAAAACACGTGTTTAAGTTTAGGGAAAAAAGCTTTGGGAGTGCGTAATGCGCACGGGATCTATGTTAGTGTGACGCGAGAACAAAAAAATTAGGACAAAAAAAAGTAAAAATAATACTAATGTGAACAAAGGAAAAAGAGGGTAAAAAATCAAGGAAATCCCAGATTAGGGTTTCTTGTGTCTCTCACTTCCTTCGGGGTAAGATCTGCAACCTGAGATCTCTTAGATTTCCGAGACTTTCTCTGTTCGATTCGGCCTGAGCTTCGAATAGTCTGGTTGGAGAAGAGGGACGAAAAAATAAGGCCATAGGAGGAGATACGGCCAGAGGAATGGATGAGGGAGACGGGAGGGATCAGGTGGAGCAGTTCCACCGGAACGAGGCGATCTCCGCCGTCGCCGACGATGGGTTTCTCGTGGAAGAAGATGACGACTACGAGGACCTTTATAACGACGTTAATGTCGGTGAAGGTTTTCTTCAGTCGTTGAGAAAGAACGACGAAGTTGGATTTAGAAACGAGCAGCAGCAGAAGGTCATCGGGGAAAACAACCAAGATAGGGTTGACACAGCTATAGCTGCGCCGGAGCACGGAGTCGTGATTCCTGGCGTTGGCGGTGAGAGTGGTGATGCTGCAGCAGCTGCTGCTCCTACAGGCCCGTCAGGAGTTTCTGGGGGATATGGAGGTCAAGGTTTTAAAGAGAATGAGGTTAGTCAACAAGTTCCTTCTGGACCTGTTTCTGGAACTGTAGGTGGGCTTAGAGTAGAGCTCGGGCAGGGTTCTAACCGGGTCAATGATGTCGAACCGTTAAGACCGAATAACGGTGGTCAGGGTCTCTTGCCGCCGCCGCAGAACTCGGGAATTCCTAGTGTTAATGGTGCGAGGGTTCCTGTTGGTAGTGCGGTCGGTAATGGGGTTGCTGTTGCTGGTTCTGGGGTTAATACCGGAGCTAGTGTTGGTTTTGCTACAGGCGGTGGCAGTGGTGGGAGCAATGGGACAATACTTTTCGTAGGGGATTTGCATTGGTGGACAACAGATGCAGACCTCGAAGCTGAATTGTGCAAGTATGGGGCGGTGAAAGAGGTTAAGTTCTTCGATGAGAAGGCTAGTGGAAAGTCAAAAGGGTACTGTCAAGTTGAGTTCTTTGATCCCGTTGCGGCCACCGCTTGCAAAGAGGGGATGGATGGGCATCTATTTAATGGGAGACCATGTGTAGTTGCATTTGCTTCGCCGTATACTGTTAAAAGAATGGGGGAGGCCCAGGTGAATAGGAGCCAACAGGCACAGGCTGCAATTGCACAAGCTAAGAGAGGGGGCCCTGCTGATGCGGCTAATAAACCTGCAGCTAGCAACATCGCTACAAGCGGGAATTTCCAAGGAGGGGATAATAGAGGTTACGGTAGAGGTAATTGGGGCAGAGGCAATGCTCAAGGGATGGGTGGTAGAGGGCCTCTTGGTCCAATGAGGAACAGACCTAGTGCGATGGGTGGAAGAGGTATAATGGGGAATGGTGGAGGGTTTGGCCAGCCTCCTATGATGCATCCTCAGTCAATGATGGGCCAGGGATTTGATCCAGCTTTTGGTGGGCCAATGGTGAGAATGGGAAGCTTTGGAGGCTTCCCGGGGATGCCAGCGCCTCCGTTTCCAGGGCTTTTGTCCTCATTTCCTCCTGTCGGAGGTGTTGGTTTACCTGGAGTTGCACCACACGTCAATCCAGCCTTCTTCGGAAGAGGAATGCCTATGAGTGGAGTAGGAATGATGCCCGGTGCAGGTGTTGATGGAGGGTCTAATATGGGAATGTGGGATCCTAATATGGGAGGATGGGGTGGTGAAGAGACAGATGGTGGGAGAGCTGCAGAATCTAGTTATGGGGAGGAAGCTGCATCTGATCATCAGTATGGAGAGGTTAATCATGATAGAGGAGGTCGTCATAACCCTGTGAAGGAAAAAGAAAGACCTCCGGAAAGAGAGTGGTCTGGTTCATCTGATCGTAGGCATCGTGATGATAATAAAGGTGCAGGTTATGAGAGGGACATGCCCAGGGAGAAAGATAGCAGCCACGATCATGACTGGTCAGAGAGAAAGCATCGGGATGATAGAGACACAGGCAGGGAACGTGAGAGGGACCATTATAGAGATCGGGAACGCTCTAGAGATCGTGAGCGTGAGCGTGAACGTGACCGTGATAGAGAGAGGGATAGGGAGAGAGATCGACATAGGGAGGAGAGAGAAAGATATGGTGATCGTAGATACAGGGATGAACCCGAGCGTGATGAAGAATGGGACAGAGGTCGATCTTCAAGAACACATAGCAAGTCACGGATGTCAAAGGAGGATGATCACCGATCAAGATCAAGGGATGCTGACTATGGTAAGAGAAGGCGGCTGACCTCTGAGTAATTTCGCCTGACACAGGACACAGAAATACCTAGTGAGTCTCTAATTTCAATGTATATCTCACTTTTCAGCCTTTGCATGTCTAATGCATCCACCTGAACACAATAGTTTTGTTCGCATGCTCCATAGGTTTATCACTTAGAGCTGTCTTCATTTCAATATCGTAATCTGAAGGACTAGAGTTGCATATGTATTTATGTCTCCATATTACAAAACCCATGTCCTGACTCCTGAACCAACTGTAACTCAACATTGGTGGAAGCTTCTTTCTTGTATTGCCCTCAGTGTTTCCCTAGAGCTATGATTTCATGATTTCTATATGGATTGACTGCTTCTACCTGTCTTGGTTCGTATAAATTGTAACTACTCCATTGTTTTAGTTGTTGTCAACTCCGTTTTATGCATTTTCCTCTTGTGTTTGACATATCTATCTGCTTATGGAATCTGGGGAAACAATTAACTGACCAGGGTTTCCGATGTTTTCTTTGATCCATGGCCTTATGGATAGATTGATTTTGAGAGCTCCTAGGAAGCTCCAAATCCCACAGAAGATAAAAAAGAAGAGCTAAGTCCTGTAGAATCTGGCGAAAGAGTCTTCAACAGTGAAATCATCTTGGAAGCAGCTGGTAGTGTAGAAGTGGTAAGGGGAACGTTTGCTTTTTAAAGTTATTGAGACACCTTGTGCCATTTATGGTTTTTAATTTCTGAAAGACAGAGATGGACCTGTGTTGTTGTGATGTTTTATGGCTTTTTCGGGTTTTCTCGATGCTCTCTAGTTAACTGCTTCTGAATAGCGGCGGCGAAACCCCCCC